ATTAATAAAATTTGGTTAAATATTAATAAAAAATGTCAACATAAACGTATAAAAAAATCAATGTCGTATCTTTTATAATTTGTTAGATACAGATTTGTCAACAAGAAATGATCACCTAGAATTTTTAGGAATTTTTTTTTCATGTTTGTAACTAGAATTTTCAGAAGTAATTTTGAATTCCTAAGGTTGGTTACCCCTTGTTGTTGACAGTTGACGTTTTCTGTCAACTATCAATTGAGTTATCTATACAAGGTGACAGGTGACTTAATCTAAATTTTTGACACTAGTTACGATATCTTTTCATCACAAACCAACCTAACCAAATTTATGGCAACCTATTCACGAATTTCCCTAAATCCTAGGGAGTAATTTCTTGTTGATACGATAATATCTGTGGTTAAACTTGACCAAAAATAATACCTGACCGACGGGAACCAATTTGACCATAAAACGGGAACCAATTAGAGAGAATTACAAAATTTGGGAACCAACTCGACTCTTCCCGACCATTTGGGGTTTACACTAAAAACTGTTTCCAAATATTTCTAGTTTTACTTTAATTCATACATAATTAGGCTTTATAAACTTGCCCAATTTATTATTAATACAAAATGATAAAATATAGAGCTCGTCGATAAAGACCTATATTTTGTTTCTACTTATTACATAAAGAGCTTTTTAACGATATAAAATCTATTAAAAACACTCTAGTTTTACACTGAGTTGACTAGAGACTCTAATCACAGATGATAATGGAGATAAGAGTTTGAATAGTCGTTTGTTTTCCAAACAAATTATATCAAAATTTTTAATTTGTAAAAAATGTCAGCAATGTTTGAATATGTGTATAGCAAGTGAAAGGAAGTTATCTTGAAAGAGGTTAAATTATATTTAATAAATTTTATTTAATGAATATTTAATCTATTCAATTGATTTATTTATAAATTGTAATGAAAATTCAATAAAACGCCATTTTTACCTACACATTTTACCCAAGTCTCACAGTGTACACAGAAAATAGAAAACAAGGTGAACAAAATGTATGTTTTTTTAACATTGATTTTTTTTCAAAATTTTTACGATAAAAAGTGAATAAAATTTAAATAGTTGTAATCGTTGTAAGTACATATCATAACCTTTGTAAAAAAAGAGGATTTTGCAAAACTCAAAACCCAGCAAAAATTTGTTCTCTTTCCAAATGTTTCTAGCTTGTCCAGAAAGATCTATATTTTGTTTCTATTTACAACATAATAAAATCTACAAAGAACAGTCTTTAGTTTTACACTAGAGACTCAAATCACAGATGAGAATTTGGGTAGTCGTCGCATTTGCGCAGCGATCTCAAATTCATTTGCGTATTGAACATAAAAATCCTTTGTTTGGATAACAAAGAAAATTAGTAGCAATTCAGCTTAGTCAAAATGGTTGTAACAAAGAAAAAAACCCGAATTATCAATGGTAAAAAATTATTATTAATCGAGAAGTAATTTTTAATAAATTTCTAGATTCCAACGATCATTTTCTCATGGTGAAAAAAGTTTACATCGATTACGGCTACCACAAAATCACGAATTTTGTGAATATTTTTTTCATAATTGTCTATCTCATTGCTAACATCTTTCAAGTGTATTTTTTAATCACTCATTGGAGTGTCGATGTTTTGGCACGATATAGCACCGCGTTGTTGATCTCAACATATGTGAGTAGAAAAGTGTGGAAAATGAATCAAAAATGTGGTTTTTAGATCCTTCAAGGGATGATTTTTCCCCAAATATACCGAACCACCGTTTTGGAAACGTACAACTCTTTCACTCAAATCGCATGGCCGTCTGAAAATGTATCGAAAAAAGTCCAAAAAAAGCTGGAACAAAAGGCCAAAGCAACGATAGTTTTAAACGTCATTCTTTTGAGTTACATGTTTTTTTTGGCAATTGTTAACGTGCCTTTCTTTGGAGAACCGAACGATTTGGTATTTTCGACTGAGATTTTTAGGGAAATTTTTGGCAAATGGAGTTGGATACCTTCTTTTTTGTACTACTTGGGATTTCCCTTGACGGGCTACAGTGCCGTGCGCATTTTTTTCGTATTTTTGTACGGAGTGTTGCATTTGGACGTCCAAATTTTGCTTATCAACGAAGTTTTGGGAAAACTCTCTTGCAATAATCGAGTTGATGACCCGAAATTCAAAGATCCTAAATACCAAGAAGATATTTACAGAAAGTTGTGCTTATGTATTAAGCAGGACGTTGCGTTGAGAGAGTATAAATTTGTGTGTTTTTTCAAGTTTTTTAAGTATTTTTTACAGCATTTTGTCCCATTTGAGAGGAACAACGAAAACTGGATTGCCGATTTTTCTTCTTTTGACGTTTCTTATCACAATCTCTTTATTTTATAACGTGATGACTGTAAGTTGCAGTTGTTTTATTTCGAGAAAACTGAAATTTATTTCTAGTATACACCAACTATTAGTAATCTTTTACGAGTTCAAATGATATCCTTAACTGCCGCTATTGTTATAACTATTTTTCTTTACGCTCTAACTGGTCAACATGTTATCAATCAGACGAGTCTTGTGTTTGAAGAACTTTGTAAATGCCCCTGGTATATGTGGAATGTCAAAACTCGTAAAATTTATCTCACTTTTATGCTAAATAATGTTCGACCAATTCAAGTCGATTTTGCGGGAATTTGTTTAAATTTAGATTTTTTTCTAACAGTAAGTGGTTAGATTAAGGTCCAAATATTTTATTTTTTTATCATTTCAGGCAACACGAGGTGCATTTTCGTATGCTTTGGTGTTACATCGAATGAGAGGCATTTAAATATTCACATTTTTCACATTTTTCTCCCACTTTCACGTTTGGATTACTTTTATCCAAGTTTATAGAGTTTAATTAAATGACTCACTAACACTTAATTACAAAAGTACATTTTATCCGCAAACGTCACAAAAGTGACCATTTTTATGTTTTTCCTTTCAGCTGTGGAGTTAAAATTCTATTTTTACGCCTAAGCGTTTTAACTTTTACCATAGTGACATTTTCCAATTCTTAGCAACATTGTAGATCATTAGCATTTGACATTTTGCACTACTAACTGCACTAGTAAAATGAATAAAAATTTTTGAAAATATCAACACCTTTGAGTTTTTCTGTATTCTGCAAACACACATTTGACATATGCAATTAAACTAATATTCACGATAAAAGAAACTAACAAAAACTACATCGTTTTACATAACATAGATTTGTATACAAAATTTAAACGTTTAATTTGGTTGTTTCTAAAATATTATTTTAGTTTTTTTTACTACATATTACAAAATAATTCTGCCTAATTTTGTCCTGAGCTAAGGGGTTTAACCCCTAAACCCCCCTTTGTTGCGCCACTGGCACAGAGCGCATTAAATATTGGGACTATTTTAATCATCTAGGCATTTTTTGAGTCCAACTGATTCCCGTTGAAAGAAAATTGTTCATTACGGCCCTGATGTGGTTCAAAATATTCTTTTGTTTTTGAGTTCTACAAAAAAAAAATATTTTTTTAAATGGCAACCCACTATAAAATCTTTTTTTTTCATAAAAGCTATACGCTAATGATTACAACTATCTGCTTTATATTTAATTTTTTTTTTAATTTTTTTCACATATATTGCAATTTTGACAAAAAAAATCGCATAACTCAAAAACAAAACAAAATTTCGTTCTGAAAATACGATCACATTTTTTATATTACTTTAATTTATATTAATTATTATTTTCTGGGGGCAAATGATTAAAATTAAAACCGCTTGGTTCCATACTTTATATTCACCCTGTATAAACATTTCAATTTTTTTCGAAGAATAAAGGTTAAAACCGCTAAAAACGACTTGAATCGGTATTTTTGAATCAAAAATTGAGCAAAATACAAATTTTAGTACACACTGAATAAACTTAATTCACAGTGTTATGTAAATTTTCAAAAATGTCACATTTTGACAGTTTAGACATTTACCTATCCTTTAAATAATTATTTTAAAATCAAAAAAATTATTTAAATTTAAAAAAAAATTCTTGTCGAAAAATCTAAGACATGGTTTTGATTGGTTGATTTTAAAAGACGTAATTGGCTAAGGATCGCACAATGACACTCAACTATAACGCATTAAATGATTTTTTACTTTTTATTGGTCTAATAATCGAAAGTGCATGATTTATATTGGCTCTGGGGTTGGCTCCACCCCTTGTGCAAAATTAGATCCAATTAAAGTAAGATGACTCACACTAAACGCTGATTTGTTATAAAAATTCGATTCGAAATTCAATAATTATTCAGGATTTTTTAAATGGGTGGAGTTACTTATCGTTGCTAGGTTTTTGTATGATTTTGGCCAATAAGAAACAAAAACCGGTTTGTTCTCACCTTAGTGGTAATTACGTGAATAGGAAAAGATTATTATTGGTCCTTGTAGTCGGACTAATAACCAATCAAATTCAAGATTTTGCAAAAACCTCACATAAAAAACTGTTTTAATTCAATTCCAATTTGCTTGAAAAAACGCAAAAATCATGAATTTAATTAATTTTTCCAATTAGACACAAAAAATTATTGTTAGATAAGAAACTATTTCGTCAGTTTTTAAAAAAAAAATACAGATTAAATATTTTATACATTCAAAAAAATTTTCGCCTGATTTTTTTGAAGAGTGTGAGTCACATTGCCATTGTCACGAAATGTCAACAACTGTCAGAAGTGTCAAATTGAATGATTGAAATCCAACGCACTCTTAGTGATTTTTTTAAAACGCTAATTTAGGCACTTTAAGACATTTTTCTCTATAAAACCCTACTACTTTGTAGAATTATGATTGAATTTTTGTTTTTTACTTTCACTCAGTCTCCACCTTTTGATTTTTTCTATTTTTCGTGTTTCCAGGAAAAAACAATTGCTATCGCGTGACAAAGATGGCTAAATTAACGTTTTTAACGGGTGTGAAAGCGTTAAAATACGTTTTATTTTAAAATAACTCTTTGTATTTGCCCTTTTTGCCAAATTCAATTTTTTTTAATTATTTCCAGTGACATTTCCACGCATGCGCGCAAACACGACCAGAAAAACTTAGGTTAGGTTTCTTGTTTGTGATTTAGAATACAATAAAAATGATTTTAATTTTGAAAAACATGAGCCCGACAACGTCATGGGCGTTGCGAAATTTCCCAAAGGTAAAAATTGCCCATGGTAAAACATTAAACTGAAATAAGGTTTAAGGTTCTCTTCAGTACAAAATCGGCTGAAATCCCCACAAATGCCCTCAAAGACGTAACCACGGCCCACAAACAACCCGAAAATGGGGTTGTCTATGACAAAAAACCCTTCAAAATGCCTCTGGAAGCTGGTAAGTGGCCCCGAATTTGATAAAAAAGTGACCACTTTTTAGGTAAACGATATGTGTGGTGTCTTTGCGGCCACAGTCACACACAGCCCTTCTGTGACGGGACTCACAGAAACCAACAATTGAAAATAAAACTAAAGTCAGTTTGAATTTCTTGAAATTTTTTTTAATACTATGTTTCAGGCCTGTGGCGTTTAAAGTCGATGAAAGTAAAGACTATTGGTTGTGTAATTGCAAACACACGGCAAATAGGCCCTTTTGTGACGGCACCCACAAACAACCAATAGTCCAAGAAGCCAATTCTGTAGTAAAACAATGAGGTAACTCAATTAAAATAACCTTTATTTAACAACTAATCTAACAATTGACTAAATCACGTTTTACTCGACTTCTCCTCTTTCCCAGGACCCCCTTCTTGACTCTTCAACTCCATTTCGATCCGTTCCTTGGCCCTCACAACCTTCGATTGGAGGTAAAACGAGCCCCCATTTGCCTTTTCATTCGCTTTAAATAACGCTTCGTAGCGTTTATCCACGTCTTCCTTACTTAAATTCGTTATGTTTAATATCTGTTTCGCTTCATCTAACGATAAACCTAGTTTGTTATTGGCAATTCTTTCGCTTCGTGTTTTCGCGTTTCCTAACCTCTGTGCTGCCTGTTGCGACGCCTCGTACTCTTGCTTAATTGCCCGGGCGAAGGCCCGACCGATCACTTGAGTCCCCGCTATGATAATTTGGGCTATATATTTGGCCATTTTTGGGTAAAAATTAAAAATGCGCTAAATTTTAATATAACCTCAAAATGTCAAAGTCGCAGCGCCGCCTGGTGGTGACCGTGAGATGGGAAAAAAATGTCGATGTTTTTTCAAACATCGAATATGATGTAAAAACATCGATTTGAAAATGTGTAAGTATTTTTTTAAATATCGATGTTGTTGCTTCGATACATCGAAATTAGTTCAGTTAATTATTTTAAATTATCTTTATTTTTTTTTTTAATTTTAAAATTTAAATTCGATGTATGGAGAATTCGATGTTTTTTAACAAAATTAACGAATATTTTTTTGTTCTAAAAATTTATTATTAAAAAAATTGGTAAATGATTTTTTTTCAATAAAAAACATCGATTTTCTTAAGTATCGATGTTTTGTGGCGTTTAAACCCCACATTAGAAGTATTGGGAGTTCGAAAAATCATATTTGTTCGAAAATTGGTACATAGCCATAAACCATTAAGTCCTAAATGAATATATTTTCAAGAGGGCGGCACTTCCGGTTATACCGGAAGTCGGTCTCAACTTTCTTATTTTAAATGGAAAGCTATATTTTTTACTGCGTTTTTGGATTAATCGGGTTATTTTAAGGGAGTTTTCGTCAGCTTTCCCTATACCCAAATTTAGCCGTTTTTGAAATATTTGGAGTTTTTCAAAAAATTTTGGGATCTGCACCTTCCACTTTAAAAATCGGAAACTCTGCTATGTTTTAAAATTTTGATTTCGTTTTTTTGGCGTTCGAACGAGAAAACTTAGATCTTTCTTTTGGTGTTATCAAATTTTGAAAAAAAAATTAACAAACCCTAAAATTTTAAGGTTACTTTTGTAATAATTCAAATACCCATAACTCAATTTTTCCAAATAAAATACTCCAATTTTTATTTTACTAAATGGAAGAGAATTTAATTCTGCATCAATCTGTATTAACATTTCCTATACCTAAATTTAATAATTTTTAAGTTATGGTGACTTTTTGTTAAGACTGCCGAAAATCTGTTACGTTTTCGTATAGTGTGCTATGGAAATCAAAAATATCAAAATTGTTTCTCAATAAACGTCGACAGTGACTTATTATTTGACAAATAGTGCCAAAATATGGAGTTAAAGCTACTCAAACTTAGATTTAATTAATTTATTTTGTATTTATGAAGAGTGTAACAAAATTATGATGTCCTTCATTAAACAAAAATAAATTTTTCTCACTTGTTAGTTTTAAATAATGATTGCATGGTAGAACCTATCAATAATAATTAAGTTTGCATAACTTTGATTCTTCATATTTTGGCACTATTTGTCAAATAGTAATTTACTGTTGACGTTTGTTTAGAGAAAATTTTGACATTTTTGATTTTGACAAACTATGTGAAAACGGGTATGGCTAGTAATAAATTTTCTGTAGTCTTAACAAAAGTCCATAACTTGAAAATTATTAAATTTAGGTAAAGGGAATGTTAATACAGATCAATGCACAATTAAATTATCTTCTATTTAATAAAATAAAAATTGGGGTATTTCATTTGAAAAAATTGAGTTATGAGTATTTGAATTATAACAAAAGTAACCTTAAAATTATGGGATGTTATTTTTTTTTCAAAATTTGAAAACACCAAAAAAAGGATCCAAGCTTTCTCTTTCAAACGCCAAAAAAACGAATTCAAAATCGTAAAAAATGGCAGAGTTACCAATTTTTAAATTGGAAGGTGCAGATCCAAAATTTTTTGAAAAACTCGAAATATTTCAAAAACGGCTAAATTTAGGTATAGGGAAAGCTGATGAAAACTCCTTTAAAATAACCCAATTAATTCAAAAACGCAGTAAAAAATATAACTTTCCATTTAAAATAAGGAAGTTGAGACCGACTTCCGGTATAAGCGGAAGTGCCGCCATCTTGAAAATATTTTCATTTAGGAGGACTTAATGTATTGTGGCTATGTACCAATTTTCAAATAAATACGATTATTCCAACTCCCAATACTTGTAATGTGGAATTTAGACGGAACATCCTGTATATTACATCGCGGGAAATTTGAATCGAACCTAACCAGCGGCTTTGTTTCAGGTTTTGCCCCCCTGCTGTAGATATGAGTACCATTTTTTAAATAAATGAATTTATCGTTAATTGTGTTTTATTACAAATATAAATACAATCCTAACAAACGAAATAAAGTAAACTTCATGCACATTGAATCGTTTTACTTCCATTCACTGAGAAATGCGTGCGTTTGGAGCTCCGGTAATAAATAATCAGTCCAATATTTAATCTAGTAACAACACACTTAAAGTTCGGTATGTTTATGTTTCAATTCTTCTATTCTTTGGATAAATTCGCTTTTTTCGATACAACCTTGACAATCTTCGCCCCAATCGTTGATAATTTTCTTCAAATCTCTAACTTTGAGTTTTTTCAAATCAACTGTCTTTAAGTCGATTTCGACGTCGTAACGCAATTCGCAGATTTGGGCGTCTTTTTTCTTCAATTTCTCGCAGATTTTGTCCGATGGCATTGACCATGAGAGTGGTTTCGACATTTCGCCCAAAATCCCAGTTGCACTCTCCTCAAGACCTCCTAAGTAATAACACTGCAAAAAAAGTTGTGACACTGAAATAGAATCGGGAATTACTTACAAATCTGTTCTCTTTGTTCCTCGTGTTTTTACAAAAGTCTCTAAATTCGGTTTCTATCAATTTCGGGTCTTTTTTAACCTTCTCTGATAAAGTGGATGCAAATTTATCTAACACTTTAATGCAGACTTCGCATTCCCCCTGCTTTAAACTGTTCGCTGTGACGAAAGTTGCGAATAAAACGGTGAAAATCACTTGGAAATCCATTTTCTAGACCTAGAAAATCAGGAAAGTGAGGTTAGGTCGGTTTGATTAACCGGTTTGAGTAAAAGAGCACAATTTTTTATGTTAAATGGCAGAAATTACTTACTTGAGCTTTTATTTCGTATAAAATCACTGATTGTTACACTTTTTTATCAAAAATAATTAACTATTAACTTGTTTTACACGTTGACAAGTATTAAAAATTTGACAGAACTCTGGTTTTGATTTTGCAAATAATTCGTTGGCGTTCTCTGATTGGTACACGTCTCTGTCAAGGTATTACTTATAAGGTGGATCCAATGGAGTTGACTGGATTTAACTTGAAAAGTAAAGCCAGAAAAAGCGTTTTTTTTTTTGTTTAAATATAACATATTGGAACTTGAATAAATGTAAAAATATTTTTCTTATAATTATGCTTAAACTATCCTCAGAGATTGAAATTGTGATACCTCTGAAGTCGTGACAGAGACAGTAAGGGTCTTATCAGTGGCGTAGTAAGAAGGTCGAATTATAATTCTTTTTTTCTTACAAACAAATAAATAAATTATAAATTCCTCATTTCAGCAAATCTGATTTTAGTATTCTTGATTATAGCACAGTTTATGTATGTGTTAGTTATTATCATATTATTATTTTTATTTTCGACTAGTGAATAAAGCAAAACTAAAACTTAATTCTAAAAAATATGTAATTATGTGTTAAAAAATATGTTTTTGCAGTTGACCATAAAAGAAATTGTGTAAAATGATTTATTTCTGTTGTAAAAATTATTTTTTATGTTTTTTGCTGCTATTTATTATTATTTGTGGCTTTTATTGGCAACGTTTTTCTGCCTTTACTGAATAATTATGAAAAAACATCTACAAGATCATCGGTAACGTTAAAAAAGATGTCGAAAGATGTAATCGAGTCATCCTTGGATCCGAAAACGTATGTCTGTGAAACGTCAAATAAAATGACAAGTCGAATGGTAAAATGGCAGGATCAAAAAGATGATGATTTTAATAACTAAATTTATGATTTACCTCTTGACTTGTCATTTTATTGACGTTTCATGTGCAATTAGTTCAAAATAGACATACGTTTTCGGATCCAAAGATGGCTCGATTACAAATTATCTCGATCTCTCGATATAAAAAATGTCAAATTAAATGTAAAAATGTTTTGACAGATAAAATTTTGGAACACTGTATTTAAGAATAAACGTTGGTATGCTAAGGAATTTCTTACCATTGTTTCTTTTGTGTGCGTGCGCAGAAGAAATTCCCTAAAATACCAACCATTATTTTCAAATCCACCAGATTCTATAGATAAGTGAAAGTCAGAAATCTAGTGGATTTAACATCTCAGGTTGGTATGTGAGGGGATTTCTTTCGGTTGAGTTAATCGCTCCCTTATCGTGTCATTTTCTTCTGAGTTGCTTGTTGTCTGTGATATTTACATTTAGAAATTCAACAAATAAACAAAATGGCGTCTTCAAAGGACCAGAAAATGGTAAGTTTTCACTTTTTTTATTTACCAGATTACTAATTTCCGTCCGAAAATAGAAATATTAAAATCAATGAGCGGTAAACGGTTTTTTTTCTTAGTTTGAGTTATTTAAAAAAAATAACAAAAATGAAACCTCTGTTTTGGGTGTGCGGCCACTCTTAAATCAACCTTTTAATAAATCTTTTATGAGGAAAATTGTTTTATTTAATCAAAATGGAACTTAAAGCTTTTAAATGTTATCTAGAACCAACAAATCTCCGTTTCTGCTTGATCCATTTTTTATTCATTGTTTTTTTGGAATAAAAAATAATGTCATAAGTCAGGGAATTCAAGCCTTTTTACTAGATGGACTCCTATTTCCCTGTAATTATGGCGAATTTTCACTTTACACATTTACGAAGCAAAAATAAGAAAAAAAAATTGCTATCTTTTCCTCCTTTTAGCTCTGTGTACAGTGAAGAACAAAATCAGACAAAATTATTTTGTAGTGGTGATAAAACTTAAATTATATTTTTGAAACAATCAAATTAAACTTTCGATTTTTTTTTATTTTGTAAATTGCGGCAAAGCTATACCTCAAATTTATAATGTTTTTACATACATACAGGGTGTCCCAGCGAGTTGAAAAAGTCCATTAGTGACCTTTAAATTGTAAAATTAAATAATATCATATAGGATATTGATAGATACTAAACTAAAATTATTTTCAACTATACAGCGTGTCTCAAAAATAAGTTACAATACAAACTTGTGTTTTTTTAAATGAAACACCATATGTTTTTTAGCGTTTTTGGATGTAGATTTTTATGACAATGTTTTTAAAACTTTTATTGGTCGATTTTACTTAGTTTTAAAAATAAGACAGTTTTTTTGACGAAAATATGCACTTTTTAAAAATTTATTACCCAAAAACTAAGACATCTAGAAATATTTTTTTACTACCGCAAAGAAGAAGGTACAAGCTATGAGGTTGTAACATTTTTTTAGTGTGTTGCATTTGCAAAGATAAAAAAATTAAGGCGTGTGTTAAAAGTTCAATAACTTAAAAAATTTAAATGGAACACCCTATTTATTGTTTTTGCATTTAAAAGATTAATAAATTGTTTTTCTAAAATTATTTACTTTTAGGTGTTTATAATCAATAACTAAAAAGATATTTAACGTTAAACATTAAAAAAAATTACTATTGTTTCAGTGGCCAAAAAGTGCACAGTTGCACAAGAGATGGAAAAAATATCACTTAATAATCACATTTTTGTTAAACTGAATCTATTATTTTTTATTTTTACAATAAAATAATTCGAATTTCAGTATTTATAACGACTTTTACAATCTTTAGATAAATCAACGAATAAGTGATTCGTGGTGGAATTACTATGTTTGCCATTGTATCAACAATGCTCAGATATTGATAATCATTGTTGCTACAATGAATATTGAATGTTAAATATATTTTCATTGATCAATTCTAAACATTAAAAGTTTATTTTTTTAGATAGACAATTTATCAGTCTATTAGATGCAAAAATAAAAATCGGGTGTTCCATTTAAAATTATTTGACTTTTAACAAACTTTTTAATTTATTAATTTTTACAAATGCAAAACACTAAAAAATTGCTCTAGCTTTAAGTTCTGTACTTTCTTCTTTGCAGAAGTAAGAAAAAAATTGTTCTAGCTGTCTTAGTTTTTGTGTAATAAATTTTTAAAAAGTGTTGTTTTTGTCTTCTTTCTAAAACTAAGCAAAATCAACTAATAAAAGTTTAGCGTAAAATTATTGTTTTAGAAGGCTATTTATTTAAAAAAACATAAGTTTGTATCGTAATTTATTTTTGGGACATTCTGTATAGCATGTAAAATGTTCCGAGAAATCGATTGGTGTCGAGAAAACTATAAAATTCTTAATTGTTTACGAGTTATAGTTGAATTAATATTATAAAAAATTTGAATCAAATTGAAATCGTAAACTACATTTTCTACTTTTCTTGAGTCTTTGTTTATTTTTTTTAAATAGTAATCTTAAATTCCAGCAACTGAGAGAGGCACTAATAAACAATCAAGTGGAAGAGGTCAAGACCATAATCTCAAATGGGTATGACCTAAACTCCCATCTCTACCAATGGACTCCACTCTCCTATGCTATTACATGTAAAAATTTCGAAATTGTTGCATTAATGTTACATCATGGTGCCAATGTAAACTTCGAAAGCACCCATGGTTATGTACCATTATACACATCCATCGACTATAACTGTTCAACAGACATAATCCAACTCTTAATAAGTGAAGGAGCTGACATAAATCAATTAGGAAAGAGTTTTTTCAATGACAAAATCAGCACTCCACTTTCACGTGCAATCCAAAACAACAATTTACAAGTTGCTCACTTGTTGGTAGAAAATGGTGCAGATGCCAAAAAAACAAACCCAGATGGGACAACAGCTGTGACACTAGCCCATGACTTGAACCGTGAAAACTTCATTAAAGAAAATCTGGAAAATTTAGACAATCTCAAAGGTTGTACTCCTTTGACGGCAGCCATCTTGTGTGGGAAATTAAACGACGCTAAAGAACTTCTAGAATCAGGAGTCAATTCTTGTAAAACCGATTCCAACAAACAAACTCCTCTTGTGACAGCAGTTCGGTGCAAAAATCTAGACGCTGTGAAACTTCTTCTAAACTACAAAGCGAATTTAACAATTCCGACAGCTTTTTTGGAAGCTATCAACTTGGAGTGCACCGAAATCGTCAAGTATTTGTTGGAAAAAGGGGCCAAAATCAATAAAAAATACCGCGATGGTTCCACACCCTTCATCAAGGCTATTGAGACTGAAAATTTGACGATTATTGAAGAACTTTTGAAAAATGGGGCTGAGGTGGATTTGGCCAATACGGGAGGGAAGACCCCCTTGGCGGTGGCAGCAAATAAGAGAAATATTGTGGTTGTGAATCATTTGATCGAGGCCGGAGCTGATATTAATTTAGCACGACTCGAACTCGAGGAATTTGCAAGTGATGATGAAGATTTTGATTTGTATTACCAGGATCTCAAAGAGCAAAACGAACAGAAATTACAAGGTAAATATTTCAAGTTTCTGTGAAGTAGCTAATTTTTTTTACAGATTTTCACCTTGGAACTCATGAAGCGGCAGACTAATATTATGCATTTTTGTAGTTACTATTTTTGTATTTTTTCAAGTTTGTTTTAATAAATGTTTTTCTACAATTTTTTTTATTCCTTACCTTTCTTTTAAATGTTTGATATGCTTATTAAATTTAAAGTAAGTGAAACAAATTTAAAAAAGATTAATCTATTGTTTTTATTTTATTTTTAGTTAAAAGATCAAAAAAACATGTTTTTAGATTGCTGCATAATAAAAATCCTCAAAATTTAACGTTATTACTAAGGCTCGGATTATATGCATTGTATATGCACCTATTTTCACAAAAATATGCACAAAATATAAATATGCTCGAATATATGCCAAATATGGATCGATATGCAAGTTTTTAACAATAAAAAATCAAAGTTGGAATAAATTTTTATCCTCGAGTACACTAAAGAATAAATAAATTGGTTTTGCCTCAGACAAGCCATTTTTATAACCTAGTAATTAAGCCTTTCTAAGAAAT